TTGTATCAATTCGGAAAATATGTAAATAAATATGTTTAAAGTTCCACATTGATGTCGACTCGATTTGTCCCTGTACCCACAATGTTTGCTTGCATTAACCTGAGACAACACTCAAACCACTCCAAGTCACTAATTGAATAGTTGATTATTTCAACTAACATAATGTTTGACCCAAAAATTAACAGGTTGAATATTGTATATGTACTTTGACTACTCTAAAAAATATGCTTAAATTATCAAGTCACTATAATATTTAATGAGACATATATAAAACCATTATAAGGTTTATAAAAATATGTACACGAAATGTACGGTCATTCAAACAAACAACCTACATAAGAATTTGTGATGTTCAATCATTTTTCTAAATATTAATAACATGATATTGAAACTCTAAGGTTAAGTAAACGTCTTTTTCTGTAAAAGAAATTACGGAAAAAAAAATTGTCACCAATTAGTATATTTATAAAGAATACTATAATACTAAGATTATATTAGTAATGGAATAAAAATCCAAATAGCTATATATAAAAAGGTAATCGAAGTATGAATATATATGTGGGAATAACATAGCTTACAAGTAACATTAATTCCATCTGATACAAAATAGTAATCTACATAAATTTGGCTACGTCGAATAATAACTTACCTTTTGGTATTGATACCGGCTCTCCATGTATTGTATATGAAATATTACCTGTGGCAAAACGGCGTTCCCGCCATCTGATATTTGCATATCGTGCGTAGCTATAAAAGATATCATCGATTGATTTTACAAAATGTTCAATTCTTCATATTTTTACGTATAAGGATTAATTCTCATAATTTTCTTTTGTAGTTAATATAAAAAATTAAGATCCTTAAATGGCAAACACGAACATCAAGGCGATAGCAATTTCAAAAGACGTAATGAGCAGAGGGGAGTGAGGAGATCTTGTTGGATCCAGAATTCACAAGATCGGGCAGAGATTTTGTAAGGTTTATGTTCAATAGTGCGCTAACAGCAAAGCTGCTATAATTAACTCGGTAAGAAAGAAAGTCTATAACAATGACATATTTTTTGTTTCGTCTAATGTACGTTACTAAATACAGTTAATTGGAACTATAAAAGATAATTATATTCACTAAATCAGATAATGCGCTAGTGAATTGAGTACAATTACCTATCTCACTATTCGAGTGACTTGGCATTGCCGTTTCATGACATAGAACATAAAATTTTGTTGTAATAAAAATATTAAAAAAAAATGTTTTATTTTTCAAAAGTTGACATAAAAATAAAGCGTTATTGAAAAAGTAATTTCTATTTAAAGTAAATTAAATATTTAAGAATATATTTGTAATTATTATTTCTTTACTGAACTAAAACTTATTTTCCTTGTATACTTAATCTTTATCTTAATAAAATTATAATTTTGTTCGTATAAAATAAAATGGCTATTATTTATATACAAAGTACAATACACTTTTTAAAAAAATACCACAAAACTTTCCAAACAATTTAAAACAACGTAATGTTCCAAACAGTTTAAAAGAAAGTAAATAGGATTGACAGGAAAGACATATCTTATTTTCAGTCTCGTCTGAGTTTATTATTTGTTACCTATTTAAAAGAACCAAAAAGTTACATTTATTTTTTATGAAAATTAAATGGAGCGAAAAGAAATTTCCTGTCAAGATACACTTCTCAGTACATTAATTTGAATCATCCATCAAACACACATTCTTTTTCTTAGCAGTCTCAGTGGTAAGATCTTGATATGTGGATGTATGTGTTTTTATCTAAATGAGGGTTTATGTGTTTTTATGAGACGATCAACATAATTTCAAAAAAATATTTTAACATGAACTCTTAACTTCTCTAAGGTTCTATAGGCTCTAAGCTGATAAGCTACCCATAAAAATATTGCCTTGATATTATTTAAATGATCAGTCATATAATTGTTCACGGATTTCTCAAAATAAATTCTTTATTAATTTTAAATAATGTTCCAGTAAAAAACAGAAGGTCTATTCAATAACATGGTCCAAAAAAATATATCAATAACTTTTATATTTTTAACACGAACGGTGAAAAGAATTAATTTACTCTTTACAAATTTTCTTAGAGTCCGGAATGGCATCCAGGAACATAAAATGATAAAAATATCGACTCAGATATTCCCAAAGGAATTCACTTAAAAATCTTGTCTCTTCTAAACATTCGCTTTAGAATTCGTGATATAATAAAGAATATTATATTATATTTAATTTTATTTCTTTTATAGTTGAAGTATACAGATCATAATTAATAATAAGGTTATAATTTTGTTACGGCTAACAGAAGGTTCGACTAAATGAGTAAATTAATATGAGTATTATTACTCATAACCTGATTTAATTACCTATAATATTTCATAATTACAAATTTTATACCTGTAGAGAATATATTAAAATAATTTCACTTTTGTATATGTAACATTTATTCGCTGAATTTCAATAATAGATTTTTAAATCTTGTGGCAAATAAAATTCTGTATATAAAAAAAATTATAATGATCGTTCCCTTCATAATAAATATTTCTAACTTCTTTTGAAACAGTGTAAAACTAGTTTTTCCTTGAGACTTCGTCCTTGTATTTAGCAAATTTAGGATCAAAGAGCATAAACTATGTTAAAATATTGGATATAGCAGACAACTATGTATAGACTGCGTCATATTACTTTACAAAATTACACAATATATTACATAATACGAAAGCTATTACTTGACCATTCTGTGGCTTCACGGGACTTAGAAACAAATTGTATTTTAATAATATTATAGTGAAATATAATCACTGTAAAGATTCTTCAAAATTCGTTAAATTGTTATGACGTAAAAGAGCAAACAAACATCTACAAAAATATAATATATTTTTTAGTCTTTTGTCATGGCAAAATAAGTAATGAGCTTAAATAAATATTTGCATGCAATTGTTCCCTTAATGAAATCCCTCGAGTGTGTCTGAAAATATTTATCACGTTATGCTTTTGTACTGTTGAGTCACAGTGGGAATTTTTAAACGTCCTTATATAACGACAGATATGACTTATAATAACTTATTTACCTATGTAAATGAACTATTCGTTATATTTTATTTATTGTTACTTTTGGGACAGGGGCGGACAGGATGTTACTATCAACAATATTATTTATCTAGCATCTATTTAAGAACTTCGTAGACATTCATATTACCATTTATATTTTTTATGAAGTTGACGTAATCGGGTTAGTTGTATGTCTCAAATAAATGTTTATTATACGAGTATGTTACTTATGCTATACAGATGATGACGATATAAGAAAGAAAGTTAAGTCAACTTAAAACTATGCTAATATTTTTCATATAAATTGTATCGTGTATTAATTAATTTACGAGCAAACAAATCTACCTGTATATTAGCAAATTGTATTCAATTAAATAATATACAATGGATACTTAACTTTCCCAACAGAAAACAAAATTATATTTAAGTTGTGGCTTGTCGGGAACTTGAGCATGCCGGTTCTGAAGTGTTGCGTCAATATTGACAGTTTGCGAATGTTTTTGAACTTACAATTTTCTTCTAAACCTAGCAGCGCTTTCATAAAGTAAACGAGTTCTCTACAAACCACATTTTTGCCAAAAGTAATAAAATAAACATATTCAATGAATTTGTCAAGATCTCTGGCGTCTTGAAGGTAAAATCATTTTTAAAAATATAGCATTCCATTAATGTATGCACTTTTAAATTTAAGATGTAGATAAACATACACAATACTGCCAACCTCCTCTTCATATTTTCAATATTATTACATAATATATAGAAAATAAATATAAATGTTTTATAATTTTAAGCACATAATTTGATGGTTGAAACAAAACACTCTTAACGAGTATTTAAGACAATAGGAACAGAAATTTAATTATCACTTTTGTCTCATCTTTTTAAAATGAATAAAAATTTAAACGAATTTCTCCATCATAAAAAAAGAAATATATTTCTGTTTGATCTTATATAGTTATTTATTTTTAAGCGCAGTTGGACTATAGGCTTAAATTACAAAGGCAGTAAAACTATATTCATTCTGGTTATTAAATTAAATTGTTTTCTAAAATGCTGACCTCTGACTGTTGACCGTCTACGGCCATGTAAATCAGACTATTAACTTGTATAATCTAGATTTATTACAAGAACTTCTATAAAATTGTACAATGGTTAAATTGTGCGCAAAAAATAATACCGATGATCAGATTCAGTTATTGTTCTTTTCCACAGCAAAGATGATAAAAAAAATGTTTAAAATAAAAATAAGAATAAAAGAACCTGGCATGTGTTCCAAACTTTATTTATAAAACTTATACAATTATTACTACGTATGTGATAAATAGCTATTTGTGTAAATGCATATTGTTAAACAGCCACATACTTCTTATAACGTTTAACAGAATTCATCTGACTTCTAGAAGAACTTTAAAACATTTCCTTATCAGATAAATTCTGCAAAAATATTTGTCGTCATAAATATCTTAACTTTATAAAATGTTAAAAGGACTTAACTAGAGTGATATGACTGTGAGTTAATATTAACGTTGTAAAAGAGTTGAGGGTCGAACTTCATAACCACTTTAATGCTTATTTGTAAGCTAATCTATAAACCAACTATGATTTTCCCTCGCCACTACCCTAAACTCTTTAATATAGAATATAATAATAATTGATAGCTATGCTATATTTAAGAATTGACTACATTATAAGATTATGAATGATTTTTTATGATAATGTTGAAAAATGTAGTGCTTTGTTGTTACATAAATATGAACCATGACCTACATACAACTGCTAAGATACTTTTTAATATTGAATAATGAATATCACCTAAGTGCACGGTGCTATCACAATTTGTGATTATAAAATACATCCTATAATAATATAACATTGATGTTTTGTTATCAGTCATGACTTCAGAGATCGGCATAGAATATATTGATATGGATTTAGCCTAAAATACGAAATGGATTAAACTTATTTCGTGTTTGTTGTTGAATTCGCCTGGATCTATTTGGTTTTGGAAGCGGGTCGTTAGCAGCAGACAAGAGAGGAGATTGAAAATCATCTCTATCTGAAGTCACGTTCTTGTCTAAATCAAAATCGGAGTCTATAATGCTGTCAAATCCTTCTTTTACTGTAACGTTAAATGGCTCGAAGTTTTCGGAATTGTTAAATAACTTATTTCTTGTGTCATTAATTTTCAATTCAGTCTCCGGTTCAACAGATTTATTTGTAGCTATTGCATCCTCAATCACTTCGATTGTAACAGATGCATCGATTGTACTGTTTTCTGATGTCAGGTTTATATTAGTAGCACTATTGTTATACGTTTTAATAAGAGATAATACTGGCAGATGGTTTGTCATCGTTAAATCTTTGCTTTCGTCAATAGCCTTCTTTTGGACACTATCATTGTAAGAAAGACTTTTAGTTGTCACATAAAAAAAATTGTCCGTATCTTTATGTTCATCATTAGAAACATTCATATCTTTAAATTTATCTTCATTGAGGTTATCTTCTTGCGTGGATAATGGAAACAGATGTGACAACGTGGTTGGTATTTCAGTTTCATTATCTGCCATAGTATTTTGTTTTATTGGAATATTTAAAAGAAGAGGGCTATTCGTAGAAACAACTGCATCCTTATAGGTTGAATTTTCATTTGGTTCCCTTAATATTACTGTAAGTTCCAGAGATGTTTCTTCTATCGATTGTGGTTTTGTTGAATATCTTTGGATATGTTCTGTGACAGAACCCACGGTACTAGTAATTACATTATTTTCTATGTTCAATTGTGACAAAGTGGGAGTTGTTTCAACAGACGCCATAGTGTTCAAAGCTTTTGTTCCTTCATTTTTATAACTTTTTTGCTTAATTTCTATGTATTTGTTTTTGTTCTTTTTGAGTGAAATATTCTCATTTTCAGTGTCTTTATTTTTATTTACTTTAGAAGACGTACTGATGTTAATTAAGGGAAGAGATGTAGTTGATGGATTGTTAATAGCTTCAGTTCTGTATAGCTCTTTGTTAAAACTATTAGCAGTAGCCGTGAACTCTTGTTGAATCTCATGTTTTAATTGTTGTTCAGAAAGATGTTGAGCTAATTTCTCTTTAATAGATAAGGCTGTCAAATCATCGCTTATTTTTGCTTTAGCCATAACCAAAGGCGGAACGAAATGGTCAGTAGGTTGACTAAATACAGTATCTGAATTACCGAGCCGTGCAAGTTCATTATGTAATTTTGTATATTGTAACAGTTCATCATTTCCTTGTTGATTATTTTGCTCATTAGTAAACAAGTCTTCATTGTGAACTAATTTCGGTGTTTCGTTTTGTTGAATATAATTGTTACTTATTATATCAATATGTTTCTGCAAAGGTGTTTTGAACATTTTTTCTGTGACAGAAGGTTTTAAGGAAACTTTATTAGAAATATCAGGAATGATGCTAAACGAGGTAGATATTACTTTAACAGGACTTGATTGATTTATGTCATCTTCGTGTTCCGTTGTAATATTTTCTTCCGTGGCAGTAGCTTCATTGTTAAAATATTGATTGTTAAATACCGAATCTGTGGTCATTTGCCACGATGTAATTGGAGACGTTCCATTTGAAGTTTGAGTTGTTTGATCTTCCTCAGTACATGCTAGCTCTTTAAGCAATTCCTCCCGTTTCTGTGAATTTAACGTTTATTAAACAATTTGTAAATTAAAAATGTATGTAAACAAATTGTTTATAATTAACTATACCACGTTTCCAGTGCATTGAACCCGTTTAACTCCAGCCAAACCGCAATCCGCAGTTAGTTGTACCGCGGCGCTCTCAGGTAAATAAAGAATAGTAAGTGCTGGCAATGCTCGTACCATGCAGCCTTCATTACCAAGTGCCCATTGCGGTACTATAAAAGGAGAGTAGATTCGAATATTTAGTGATTTAAGAAGATCGTTTTAATATTTTTACTTCTAGAAACAAAACCAGAAGATAAACCAATAATATGAACAAATCATACCAGGTAGTTCACAAATGAAAGATGCAACAGAGGGTCCACCACAAGCTCGTGCCCCCCAACGATAGTCAGCAGCAGGATCGGCAGCGGCACACAGAGGAGCAGAACGAGTATCAGGTGCAGCACTCCAGTATCCATCACCACTTAAACCTCGGTAGTCCCTTAAGTTATAAACATCACATTAGTTACAGATATACATATTTGGACTTATAATAATGTAATTTTTTTACAGTTCACGGAAATAAATCCGTTATTCCAATTCTGGATACCGAAATATGAAATATACTTAAAAGTTAATCAAATATGACAAAATAGAAAATACATACGTCCAAGTAAAATCACCATCTGGGTTGCTTCGGATCAGTCCAACCCATACAGCACTGGATATGTCAAGCTCTTTAAGATATGCTCTGACAGCGTCGTATTGAGCAGTCGTATCCACTGTAAACAAAATAGGTATGAACATACTCCTCAAAATATAAATACAAAGTGTTAAGGTACCTGCATATATATATGTGGGTAAGTTTTATTCTCAAATATACCTTAAACAACTTAATGGTTCTGGCAAAATTTTGTATTATGTTATCTGAAGTAAAAAAATGAATCTCTTACGCAAAATAATCTGGTATAAATGAAACCTGATTTAAACAGCTATTCTACCTTTAATAAAGCCTCTAAAGGGCGATTTAAAGACAATACTGTAAGGAATAAGTATGTATTAAACAATGGTTATTATTCTCATTAAACGTCTGAAACTGATTGACGGCCCAATTATGTTACTAAATTAATGTTAACGTGAAAATAGCAATTTGCCGCCAAATTTATATGATAGTCTTTAATGAAGCAACGATATTATATGAGTAAAATATTATATATTCAGCAGAAATTTGGTAACGTTTGATGTTCGACACATTAATTTGAAGTTCACAAATTCGTAAGCAGTTGAAAGAAAGATCTAATAATAGACATGAGGCATACATTAAATTAATAAATTAATTTTTTTTGGTTGTAATATCTGTTTCGTGTTTAAAGAATGTAAACAGTTAATAAACAATCTCATGAAAAGTGTATACTGGCAGATAGCCAAGCCAATTTTCGTCTCGTCGCTCACTCAATATTTTGTAATACATTGTAATAACTAATACCTTCCATGGGCACTTGCTGTATGGCGATTAAGCATCATATTATAAACGGATTGTAAAATAAAAGTGTTTCTGAATTCTCACTTCGCTTTTTGGGAATCATTACACTGTTACCGCGGTTATATTATTAAATCTTTCTAAATATTTTTGGACCTAAAAATCAATGAAAAAATAATAATCAGACACTATCCAATTTGTACAGCAACATAAACTCAACCATATATTTTATAATATGTTAGTGCATTATATTTTTTAACATCATATTCAAATTTATATAGTACAGGGTAATAGAGTGTCCAGTAAAGAATGGATAACCTTAAAATGTCTTATAGAAGAACTTATGACCGTTCAGAAAAAAATATGAAACAAAATATATCATAAGTAGTACTCAAGATAATTTTTTTTTAAAAGAAATATCTAATTTTTTTTTAACTTATTTAAGAAATACATTTATTTCTACAACTAGAAATCGATTACATCGGTTTTTTGGTGATTTATTATTATACACCAACTACGATGATAGATACATAGTACATAATGTGACTAGCTACAGCACATTTCTTTTTATAAATACACAAATTAGCTTCATTTGTAAAATTATCGAAATTATTTTAACAAAGTTTAGACAGCTTGGGTATAAAAAAATGTATCGATACATGAGTGACCAATCATTTTAAAATAATGTCAGTTTCATGCAGATTTTATAATGGTACAATTCATAATTGTATCTGCTATAAGTTGTGAATTATAGTTATTAAAGTAGAGAAGGAGCAAGTTAGACTAAATTATGAAATATTTAATACGGAAACATATTACTTATATACTAATTTTCCTTACATACTAATTTTCTTTATATACTAATTTTCTTTATATACTAATTTTCCTTATATACTCATTTTCCATATATTCCAATTTTCCTTATATACCAATTTCCCTTATATACCAATTTTCCTTATATACTTATTTTCCTTATATACTCATTTTCGTTATATACCTCGGATGTAGAATTAGCAGGTTTTAGAAGAAACTACTCAACAATAGATCACATTCACTCCTTAGGATTAGTGATAAAGAAGTTCGAGGATAAGAACGGCCCGCTCTACTTGTCGTTTGTAGACTATGCCAAAGCGTTTGATTCTATCTCCCATAGCAGTATCTGCAGAGCTTTACAAGATTACCAAGTACCTACGGAAACCATAGAACTTATAAAGGAAATTTACAAAAGTAGTCAAAATAGAGTAATACTGGACAAGACTTTAACTAGAAGGAATTTAACATTTTACTAAGAAGGAATTTAACATTGGCAGAGGCGTGAGACACGGCGATCCTTTATCCCTGAGAATATTTATAACTCTACTTCAAAGTATCCTGAAAAATCTGATATGGGAAAGAAAGGGCATTTGTATAGACGGAATTTACCTAAGTTATCTAAGATTTGCAGATGATATTGTACTCTTTACAGAAAGTGCATCAGAACTAGGAGCTATTGTAAAAGAAATAGACGAAGTTAGCCAGAAAATTGGTTTACTACTAAACATAACAAAAACAAAAATATTAACAAACAATAAAAAAACCACTATAAACCTCAAGAACGGTCCTCCGGAATATGTTGAAGAGTACATATATCTAGGTAAGCAAATATCCTTCAAAAAATCTAGACATCGAGATGAACTGACTAGACGTGCAAACATGGGCTGGAACAAATTTTGGAGTTTTAAAGAAGTTCTTAAGTCAAGAATTCCTGCAAGACTGAAGAAAAAGGTACGGGACTCATGTATATTGCCTTCTCTTTCTTATGCGTCACAAACATGGATATTCAACAGGTACACAAGTAGCAAGATACAAACCACGCAAAGAGACATGGAGCAGAGCATGCCAAATATAAAGATGAACCATAAAAGAAAAAATGTATATGTGAGAAATACAACTAAAGTTATAGATGCTTTACAGCACTGCAAAAAAATAAAATGGAAATGTGCTGGCCATTTTGCTCCTAGATGGACGAAACGGATAACTACTTGGAATAGGCCGTCAGGAAAGAGAAAGAGAGGGGGGCTCGATAAAATACTGAACACAGTGGGAAATGACTGGTTCGAAAAGGCTTTAGACAGAGATCAATGGAGAGAAATGGAGGGGGGCGTAACTCTGTAGAGAGGCCCTTAATGATAATAATAAAAAAAAATTATACGCATGAAAATCAATTATTAAATTATGAATTTTGGATTGTATATTTTTAATCTAAATTTATATGTATTTGATAGTGTACAAAAACTATATAAAATCAAATTGTTAAGGAATAAACGATTTATTTATAAAGGAACTTGTAACTGAATTTTTATTTACTTTCACAACGTTAGATGTAAAAAAAATAAGTTAAAATCATCCTTTGAGCGTAAAGGTGGTATAATATTTTAAAATGATACTTAAGAAATGCTCAACCCAGAAATAGAAAGAACATTTATACCCATAGTATTATAAATATTCATGATCCACTTCTTTTCACAAAGATTTTTCAAATAAAATTAATGTACCCGAGAAATGAAAAGACTGCACTACGCAGAATAACAGACAATCCTGATAAATTAATTTTAAATCTCTCTACATCATACAGACTCGGGAAATTGTAAGAATCAGTTTCATATACTTTATTACTATTTAAATAACATTATATATATGGCATTATTGCTAACTAAGAAGAATTGCACATTATTTAGCAGTATTGGCTCTTCAGTGAAAAGCAAATGAGATTATGTTTAAAACTTTCTTTGAAAATATGAATAAATATTTATGCACAACTACACATACAAGAAAAAAAGCATGACTGGTAATATAACTATGTAATATTAAATATAAATATAAAAATTTGCATTCATTATAACATATTCTGAAGAGCTCTTAAGCAGGGAAAGCAATAATAAGAACCAGAAAAAACAAACCCTTGTTCAAGAGTAATCATTAAACGTTTATTACGCATTTAGAACTCATTTCAAACGTCTGATAAATATCACTGATATAAAATTAATCTTTCAGCTCTGATTTTGTCGATACCTAGCCATTTTTAATGAATGTTAAAGAGTCTTCAATATTTTGAACATAATAGAATGTTACTGACTGACGACCCAGTTTAACCACAAAGTAAGTAATGATAATATTAACATCTCAATATTATCATCTACAGTTGTTCTTTGTACTGTCTTGTTCTTAGTAATAGCCTCAGTTTAGCATTTAGTAAGAAATAGTTTAATAAGAAAAACTTCGTTCAAAGAATAATTAGCATTCATAATTAGGATCGGTGACAAATTATAATAGATATAAATGATACACGAACAGGGATATCTGCGACTATAGTGTGAATTACTTGACTTTATATAAAATACAACTGCTATAACTTAATCTTGTTACTTTGCTGTAAAATAATTATTAAAATCATTTTAGTAGTTTTTGAGTGAAAGATCAAAACATTTCACATCCATACATAATAATATACCATACATCTTTACAAGCCCTCGCGTTTATAATATTAATACGATTATGTTTACAATTATATACGTAACAAAGTTTTAATGTATATTATTGAAATAATTTAACCATTGACTTTTTACCTTCTTCTATCTAAGATATATAACGACTTTCCTTATAATCCTTGCATCAAATCTAATCATACTTACTATCTTATTGTTAGAATGAAGTCTAAAGAAAACTGATAACAAAAGAAGACAAAATAGTAAGAAAATATTGTAGCATTATGTGTGAACGGAACCGCTTTTACTAGAAAGTAATTCATTATTATAAGAATGAATAGGCTTAGAAGATTCAAGCCATATTATATTAGATATAGACAAATAGATATAACAAGTTTATCACTTTTAAAGACCTCGGGAATATTGGTTGAAGGTTTGAATTAAATAAAACGATTCTATAGAATCGAGGTATAGGAACATTCAAACTTTAAGAAAATCAAGAATAATGATGATGAGCTCACAATCGGTCATCGGAGAGAGCTCGGCTTGTAAAACTATTTGTCAGGATTTTTTGCGGCTTCTTGTCAAATACGTTGAGTGATAAATGAGGCCACTAAAAACTTGAAATGTCGTTACCACCACAATGTATCAATAGGAATTTAACGAGAGTAAAATTTCTTAAAGACATCGCGTTTTATAATTTATTATAATATGAAATTATAAGATAAATTAAGTAAACTTAACGTGGTGTAAAATGTTAGAAATAGAGTAACATTTTTTTATAAGAAATTTTTAACAATATACATGTGCTCCTTAGTCACCTACCAAAAACTATAGT